TTGTGTTCCCTCTCTCGCTATCTCTGTCTCTGTCAAATAAATAAATAAAATCTTTAAAAAAAAAAAAAAAGGAATTAAGGAGAAGGTCAACTTTTTAGGTAATGGGATTGTTTTACGTTTGAAATTGAGTTGTTACAAAGACTTTCTGAGTTTAGGACAGAATTGTTTGAAGACAATTTTTTGAACAGGATTCCTGTTTTTTGGGGGGTAAAAAAACAAAAACAAACTTTTTGATGCTACCTGATGGTAAGCTGAGCCCTAAAAATAATGAAGAATCAAGGCATAGTCTTTGTGTTGTAGAGAATGGTTCAGCTGCTACTGTTTTTCTTTTAAGAAAAAATTATCTTTAATACGAGATAAAAAGAATCCCCCTCAGTGGTTCCTGTGTCCCAGACAGTATTGTAAGAGCTTTACATATACTGAGTCATTGAACATAGTAACTCTGCCAGGAACGTGCAGTTATTACTCCATTTTACAGATGAGGTCCCACAGCTGGGGGGCTGGCAGGGATAGAGCTGGCCCTTGGACTCAGCTGCTCTACATCCCCCTCCGAAAAGTACTAAATATAATGTTAGCATTTTTTGTGTATTTTAGTGCCACATTTGTGTTGAGGAACTCAAGGTAGAATCAACCGAAGAAGGTAACAGCATTTCAGCAATGATTTCCTGCCTTCCACTGATTTTGACAGAATTGCAAATGATGAGACCTGACTCCTTCAACCGCCAACAGTTTTCATTTTTCAGTCTTATGATGGTCCTTTCAAACTAATTTCTGTGAGAGGCTCTGTTGGCTGGTCACAGAACATAGAATTTTAAGTGGATAGAGTCATCTTTCTTTGTCACTATAAGAATTGAGGTCAGTTGCTAAGCCCTGCACTGACACTGCTAAAACAGTTTATGCATTTATCAAATTTATAAACTCCTCTTGAAGTGTAATTTATAGCTATAATTACTTTAGCCCTATGAGGAGATAGGAAGTCCTGTTTGATATGCCTTTGTGTGCAGCTGTCAGCCTAAATAGGAGTCACCTGCAAGGAACAAGGTGCATCGGGGAGCAGGAAGGAGACTCTTCATGCCTTTCTCATCTGCACATGTCTGTATGGGGAGAGAGAGGTCTGTGTTGTGAGTGATGTTCACTTTCTCAGTGGCTGATTTCATTTTTCAGTTCCAGAAAGAATTTTTTAAAAAGTGAAAATTAAAACAACCACACCCTAATGTAACCCTCCCATGCCACCATTAGGTAGCGTGTTCAGCGGAACAGTACACCCTTTGTTCTCGTAGAGCTGCCTCATGCCCTTTTCCGTCTTTGAAGGTTTTTGTTTCTGATTACTAAATAAAATGGGTACTTTAAGAAATATTTTTGTAGTGTTTTAAACATCCTGGAGAATCCTGTTGTCTTTATAAAAATACACCAATTTTCACAAGTAGTAACTAAGGGCTTTATAAAACTTGGTTCACCTTTGACGTGGGTAGCCTGCCTCAGACGCTTCACGGTCTCTGTAGATGCGGGCATCGCTCTCGCCAGTTCCTTGAACACTCGGGCTTTATCCCGGGAATGCTGATTCCACCCCATGCTGGCGAATCGTGAGTGGTGTTGGCCCAGCCCTTGCTCTCTCAGCACTTTTACGTGGTGAAAAAGACAAACATTCAGCTAATCACATTGAGATAAACGAGATCAGTACCATTAGCGCACATGAGACGGAAAAACAACTGCTGAGGTCACTCGAAACTTTTCATTTACTCTAGGAAAACGGTCATTCTGGTCTACGAGATGATGCTCTTGGAGCTGGTGCTTTATTGGTGTTTCTCGTATTTCATTTCTATATATTCTTCATTATGAACTCAGATGTGTAAAAAATTCTTATAGGATTTACATTTACCACATTGTACATTCACCACACTTAAGTACCCATAGATTATGTGCTATATTCTGTACTTTGTATTGAACTTCTTGAAGAATTACCTAAGATGTTTGATTTTACTTACCATATTTTACGTATACGATTTAAGATAAAAAGAGATTATTAGGGGCGCCTGGGTGGCTCAGTCGTTGAGCATCTGCCTTTGGCTCAGGTCGTGATCCCAGGGTCCTGGGATCGAGCCCCACGTCAGGCTCCACGGTCAGCAGGGAGTCTGTTTGTCCCTCTGCCTCTGTCACTCCCCCCACTCATGCACACACTGTCTCTCAAATCTTAAAAAAAAAAAAAAAGAAAGAAAACATCAGCTTTTACTGATGAGGCCAGATACAGTTAAGAAATGTTCAAGAAGGGCGCCTGGGTGGCTCAGTTGTTGAGCATCTGC